CTTTATAAAGTCACTGAAATAAATGCTTTATGAAATTCTCAAGTGCCATCAATAGTCTACCAAACAACCTGTCTCTATTATAATTAAAACAAAAAGTTTACTTTTCCTAGAAAATATTTATATACTAAAAATAATTCATTTAAATATCACTTGCAATTGAATTTGTAAAATTAGCAGTTTATAATAACACTAAAAAAATTTTAGTAATAAAATAATTGCATCCCATCAGTAGACTATCTAGTCCTCTGAGGAAAGTAGAAAGAAAATTCGTTAAATGCCAACTATGTACCAGACACTTATCATAGATACTTTACATGTACTTATTTTAATTCATATTAAAATCAGACAAGGTTGGCATTATGAAAAGCATTCCACAGATGGAAAAGTGATTCTGAAAGTAATCCATAGATCACTTTAGACCTTTGTTTACAGAGTGTGGGATGTGGAGACAGGCTTTCAGGATTAGAACCCTGGTTCTTCTACTTATTAAGCTCCTGTGACCTTTCGCAAGATGAACAAGATAAGGAGATCTGCTGCACCACGTTAGGAGTCTAGGTAATAAAATTACACTGTCTTTGGGATTCATGCTAAATCAATTTAGCTCTTCTATCTCCCCTCCAAGAATAGGCATAAAACTATATGAGTGACAGATTTGTTCATTTAAATTTACCTCACCAGATAGTAACATTTTTACTATCTATATAAATCCTGTAACATCATGCTCTACACCTTAAATATGCACAATAAAATTCCGATACTTTTAAAAATGTAAACAGCATAGAAATACTATATGCTACCAATACACACCCACTAACATTCCTATTACTTAAGATCAGACAGTACATAACAGAACAAGGGCTTGAGCTCAAATCTCTCTTGATACCAAAAGAACACGGGCTCTAATGAAAACCCTTAGTATACTTTGAATTGTTTGATATACAAAACTCAATTTATACCTTGTTCCAGAAAACACAGATTTTTTCAATGCTGAGTTCTCTTAAGACACACAATGTAGAAGGTTTTGTTTTGTATCACCCACTAAATTACCTATGTTCTTTTTAAAGAAGCCCAATGTAAAAAGGATATATTGTTTGCAGTAGTAAGTGTATATAACTATTGGATTCAAAGGAAAAGAAAAATTGTACTCATGGAGTCATTCGTAGACAAAATAAAAAATAATCCTATCACTTGGAATATCACTTGGTTGGAGTTATATTTTTTGAATTAATTTAGTAATCATCCACTTACTTTGTAGTCATTAAATGAATATCAAATGTCCAGTGAAAGGCTATTTGTCTGGTTATTGCTTTAAATCTTCAGGAAATTATATGACATTGACTAGTCCAATATAAATAACATTTGTTCCCAAGGAATGACCAAACACCCAAACAGCCTTGCTCACTGGAGAAAATCACTCAAGGTGATTGAGAATAATCATAAAAAGGATGAAACCGCAATGCTAACTATATGTTGGTCCAATTTACTTAGTCCAAAACAGATCACCTCAAAAACACTAAATATGTTATCATAAGCTATTTGACTTGTTTCAATAATATTATCTACTGTTGCTTAATGTTTTGGTAACACGATAAAGGCTAACTATATGTTAAAAGAAAAGGAAAATTCCTGGAGATTGAAATGTTGTAGCTAAGTCCAAAAACCAGCTAAAGAGAAATCCTTCTAAACTCTTCCAGGTTTCCATGAATTGGTACTGACTTCCACATGTGAGGAATACATCCTTCAATTTGAAGCCACTGTATCTAAAAAAAGGAGAGCTGGTTCAAAACCAACTTTCATCATCATAACTGAAATTCAAAATCTAAGTCCTATTTTTAGATACTTGAATAAGTAATTCTCTATTGTAAATGGCATCAATAGAGAAAGAAGTTCACATAATGTAATATGGGCTTTATTACAACAATCTATTTCTCTATGATTGATATTCAGTATTTTTACTACTGTAGGATTAGCGATAACCCAATAAGATCACCTGGCTCACTGTCATCATCACTAAAACCAGAAGGCAATGAGTGCTTAACTATGCATGATTTATAGATTTTATTGCATTTACTCTAAATAATCCAGAAAGATACTATTATTCCAAATTTATAATGGTGGAAACTGAGGCACAAAAAACTAATGACATATACAAAACTGCATTATTCTGACTAGTAAAGTCAGGATTTAAACCTAAGTCTGTCCGACTTGAAAGTCCATACATAACAACTATAAGAAGTAGACTTCATAATAAAGCCAAACCACAAAAATTCTTCGGCTCAAATAAAGATATCTCTGGAGGCCTCAGAAATTAAGGTTGTTCCTTTAATACACAAGGTTTTCATAAAGTTTGTGGGTAATTTAAAGTAGCCAACTACTTGTAGCAATATTAAAATAATATTTTAATTCTAAATTCAGTATATAAATTGAAAACTCATCAAAGTAAGAATGATATAGTAGCAGACTATATCTTGCAGAAATAATAAAAAGTTTCATTAAAAGTGACTATTTAGTAGAGAAAAATGCCTGAAAGACAAAATGCTTCGGCTCAAAACACAGAAGGCAGAGAAGTAACTTATTTTAGAGTTTAGCTCAACTTTACCAACCATTAATTAAAAATTAGACAATATTGTAATTTGTCATATATTTAGTTTTCTAATAGATTACCAAAAGAGTATATTGAATTTTCTCTAGATTTTAAAACTTGATGTTTTTTAAAACTTTAAACACTGATGCTCCCTCATCTGGAACAATTTAATATTGCCTAAACAGAAGCTGATACATCCTATTTCAAGGTCCCATTCATCTATATCAACTGATGATACAGCCACAAAATAAAAAATTCTGTCAAGCCTTACACAGCCAAGAATTTGTAGTCTTCAAATAGAGGGAGAAATCCCATTTAACAATTTGCCGTTAACATTGAAAACTAAAAGACTGTATTACTGATGCATAAATTTTTCTATAATGGTCTCCTGTCAAAATTTTAAATAACGAAAGACTGTATTACTGACATGCACAATTGTCTATCAAAGAGCAAACCTCAGACATGAAATTAAATTAAAGGATAATAGATAAAAATTAAATTAAAAGGTAATAGATAAAAATCCAAAATAGCATATAACTACATTATAGGGTAGCCTGGAAATGACTGTGTATTGCTATCAAAGAGGAGAGTGGTACCTTTATTATTAACATGTTTGCTATTGACTATAAACTAAAAACATATCACTGAAAAAGATAGAATGAGTGATTACAGATAAAAATTAAAATGAATGATATGAGAGAACTAAAAACAGTCAAAATCAAAAAGGGTATGCTAACTCCTCAAACGGTTTTTATCTTCATAATGAATACATACAATTTAAATACCAAAATAGAATATAAATTATATCATAAAATGAGTTTTAAAAACAGAGAGTAAAAAATAACCATACATTTTGGATGAATGGACCAGATAACCTATTAAATATTGTTTTAGCAGTAAGATTTTATCATAACTGTTCAAGACGGTGTAAATTATTATGATAATTTTAGTTATAACATTTCAAACTATATAATCTTCCTAATCTTCTCTTCCCTGGCAACAATGTCTATTTCAGGTTTAAAAAATTATGTAGTTCATATTAATTCATAAGAAACATCTAAATTCCACATAGAGTTTTCTACTGGCTAGTTCATCTGTAAAATCTTTTCATTGTACTTACTAGGTTTTAAATTACTGATCATAGTATGTCTTGGTTCACTTAGATGATAAACAGCAGAACATTTGAATTTAAGTAGAGGATTGGGATTTAAAGTGTGATTTTGCCACTAAGCTGATCTGCCCCGCAATGAGATTATTTAAGATCCCATGGCAAGCTAATATCACAGAGGGCATGACCTCAGAGTTCCTTTTCATTTGAAGGCTTTTTACTTTCAAAATTTCAACCTTTATACTATATTGATATAAAAGAAAGAATGACCCAGGGATGAGAGGTGAACACTGTAAATGTACAGGTCAAATCTATGTTTAGATTTATACTGTACGTAAAGATAGTCCCAATATAGGAACAATAGTTATTATCAGTACTACAATAGAATTGCATTAGTAGCTAATTTAGATAATAAATATGAGAAAACAAAAAACACATACTACATTTCCTTTTACCTTAAATTTTTCTCATACCTTCATTCACTAGTCCTTCCATTAATTTAAAATTGGATAACCCACGAAGGACCTCATATACACATGTACTGTGCACAATAATGAAGCAATCCTAAATTGCTTGAGTAAAGATTGATATTTATTTATATAACTTGCCCATTAATATCCCCAAGTATAGCAATGTACATATTTAAAATAGTTGCTAAAATGCATATTTAACTTCTCATATATGTGATTATAAGATATTAAATCAGAGTATGATGCAAAAGGTATTTTTTGATAAAAATAAGGAAAGCTATAAAAATTTTACATGAAATCAACCTCATTGTAAAATATTTAATTTTTACATAAACATGGATATGACATTGGTTAGATCTGGGTCCTTAAACATAAATTATCTATAAATAAAAGCTGGTGCCAATTAACATTGTGCTAGTCTTACGTCATGATAAAAGCATTAGAAAATAATACCACTCTTTAGGGTATAATGTATATAAGTGTGAAAGTGTTCTTAAATACTATTTTTGTGAATAAATTCTACCCTAGTAATTTTCTTCAATCTGACACAATTTCAATGACATTTTTTCGCAAGTGCATATTATAATCACTATGCTACATTTGGTAAAAATTTTCTATTTATTACCAAGGAAGGCATTCTTTATGGTTTAAGAATTTAAGTGTCAAGGTTTCATTTATTTGTTATAAATATATATCTGCCTTAGTTCTCAAAATATTGTTATTAACACTTCAAGGACAAAACCCAAATACTGTAATATAGTCACACAGTACTGACCATATTAGGCATAGCCTAAGAGCGTAGGAGATAACAGCAATTGCATGCTTAGAGAAAACGTACCAGACAGTTGTTTCCACTTGACTGTCATTGAGCTGCCGATTGTCCAGTTGGGCAAAAAGTGGAAAAAGTACTTGAATCCCTCCAATTGAATGAATTGCACTATGAATTGAATGTGTTACTATAGCTTTCACATCCTGTGTTCAGAAACAAAATTGTTTATTAAACTTCCATAGCATAATTTTTATCACTATTTCCTTGTTTCAAATCTTTATAAGAAAATAAACACAGTTTGATGTGTTTCAATAGCCCTCAATGATATAAATTTCGTAATACATATAAAAAATGGAAGTGAATTTAAAATTCACTTTTAAATTAAGAATATGAAGTTAAAATCAAAAGTTATTTTAAAATAAGAAATACTATTAATGGATTCAAAGATACTCAGGTATTTTTAAGTTAGAGAGTATCATTCTTAAAGCAAAGTTTGTTTTGTTTTTATAACTATTCAGTTAAATCAATCTATTTTATTTTGAAGGATATAAAATATCCAAGATAACAGAAATAATATATATCATACTAAGGAGACAAAGGCCAAGGTATATTGCCACAGAAAAGGCAGAAGGCAAAACTTCCAATTAAGAATGGGAAAACCTTACTTGGGAGGCTGGGGCTAGAGGATCGCTTGAGCCCAGGAATTTGAGGATGCTGTGAGCTAGGACTTACTTCACAGCACTCTACCCAGGGCACAGAGTGAGACTCTGTCTCAAGAAAAAAAACAACAACAAAAGAATGAAAAAACCAAAAGACGAAAAAAAAAATAGGAATTACAGATTTATAGATAAGCAACATTTGATATAGAAAATTAAGTTATTGATAATTTCTGACAAAAACAGGAAAAATAAGCCACTATTGACCCACCTGGAGCATGAGTGCATGTGGGGAATGTACAAAAATGGATGCATTTTCTTTGGGTGATGATTCTAGGCAGAGCTGAGCATCAGTGGCCTTAGCATTATATGTGAAGGCAATACTACTAGCAAGTTTCCCATCATATAGAACCTGTTTATGATGCTCTGCCAAGTGAATATCACTCTCGGATTTAAACTTGAAGGTACTCTGAAAAGAAAAAAAACTAGTGTAAACACTCTATATTAAAAATAACATAGTAAAACTCTGAAGTTTTCAAGCAGACAGACATTTAGAGACTAAACAATCTGCTGTATGCAGTTAGTATCATAGGCTGGTCAGTGGCTTTACGGATTTTCTCACTCCCCTTCTATGAGAGTTAAGATTTATTACGTAGTAAAGATCCTCAGATCTTGGTTTTTATTAAGCTTTTGATTACTGCCAAATTATGTAATAGTAACATAATATAAAGCCAGATATATGATATAATAACAACATAACATAAAGCCAGATGACTGTATATAAGCAGGATTTTACTTGTAGCATAGGTTTAATTTTTCTTGTTAACATTTTCTGAAGTATTTATATACTTAAACAGGACCTGGAACATGAATTACATACAAAAATGACTACTATTTGAAAGTATAAGAACAGTTGATATGCAAAAGTATTTATATCTATCCTAAAAAGCATTATCAACATTATTAAATACCAGTGCTACTCCATAATAATATCACATCACAATATACATAATAAAATCAGAAGAGAATTCCATTAAAACAGGTTATTTCTTTATATAAAAAATAAGATGAACCAGCTGTAACAAGAAAAGTATTTTATAAATGGTTAAATTTGCTTTACAGGTATGAATGTGACAGTGATAAATAATATTTAACCTTTATAACAATCACATGATATCAGTATTGCTATTGTTATTCTAGGTCTTCTGATTTAGAGTAACCAATCAATGGATTAATTGTGAAGTCATGTGAAATCCAATCTTGACTCTATCACTAATTACTTTTTAATGCTTAGGAAATCTGACACAGTTCCAATTTCCTTATTTTAATGCTATAACAACATTAAATCAAATGTTTCAAACTCAAGTTCTTATGGAAGACAGACAGATAGGCACATAAGTAAAGTGGGCTGAGTAAAAACACTCAAAACAAGAAAGTTCATGTCCTGTCTAGAAGTAGCGCCTACTGCTCAGCTCAAGTCAATTATTAACCTATTTTGCCAGTTATTCCACAGTTTTCAAAAGAAACATGAAATCTTAATTTTTCATAAAATCAATAATTTTTAAATTTAATTCAAACATTTTAAAACACTGTGCAGACCAAACATGTCAGTACAATTATCGACATTTTTCTACTTCTGGACTATTCTCTAGACTAGAGAGACTTTCTATTATAAAACTGAATGCAAATCATTAATGATTAGGCAGGTGCCAAGACGAGAACAGCATGAAATAATAAAAATTTGGGCATACTGTTGTCTGTATTTCATTGATTCTTCCTACACTTTTTTTTTTCTGCAGGAGGAGGGTGGTGTAATCACTATGATGCTAAGGAACCCAACACAACAGCTTTCCAAAAATAATAACTGAAATAGAAAACTGCGAAATGTGTTCTAAAACAGTGTAAGTAGCTTTTCCATGACTGCACTTTACCACCGCTGAAATGTTTGTACATCCTATTGTCTGGAACAAAACTTTTGTTTTCAATTGTGTATAGTCTTTAAGTTGAAATTAACAAGGTTGAAAGTTCTCTTGAAAGTTTTAAAAATTTTTTTGGAAATTTAAGACGCTTAATAAAACCTATTCTTATTTGGAAAAAAAAATTCGTCTAAATTTTGTTGAGTCCATGATACAAAGACTATAATGCTACAATTTATGGGAGCAAAACAAGTTCATATTGTATTTAATTAAACCTAACACTTGCAGGCTTTTTAAAATATGCATAAAATAATATAACGACTATAAACATATAATCCACTAAATAGATACTAAAATATTCTTAGCCTTTTTCCATTGGTGATATTAGATTTTTCTGTGTTTTTTAAATTATATAAAGGTATGATAAGCCTTTATATAAATCTCAATATTTATTGCATAATTTCTTTCAGAAGCATTTATAAGAGCACTGTTATAGAAAATGATCTGAACAGCACAGAAATGAAAACGAGTGCTAGGGAAGAGAAGGCGATCAAGGGCATCCACATAGGGTCAGAAGAGATCAAACTTTCACTCTTTGCAGATGATAGGATTGTATATCTGGAAAATACCAAGCAAGCAGTACCTCACAGGAATAAAGTTAGTGTAAATCTTCACTGGGAAAAAAGTTCTCAGCTGATTCTGACAAGTTAAAAAGCATATGGTAAGCTCTAGAGAAATCACTAAAGGAGTAAGTTTTAAAAAGGAAAAAAAATGTTAAAGAAATGAAAGTGTTACATTAGAAAATCATCACTTAGTAAAAAAGTAATCAAGAAATAATAAAGGAGTAAAAAGGACATAAGCCACACAGCTAACAAAAAGTAAAATGATATATAACTCTATATCAATAGAGTTACAGAATGAACAGAATAGACAGAATAAACAAATCAAAGGGCAGAGACTCAGACTGAACAATAAAACAAGATCCAATAATATACTGTCTATAGGAGGCACTTTAGTACAAAGATATAGACTTAATGTAAACAGAATGGGAAAAATATCAAGCAACCACAAGAAAGCTGAAGAGGCTAACAGCAGACAAAATAAACTTTCAAACAAAACATCTCACTAGAAAGTCAAAGGACACTGAATAATTATAAAAGGGCAAAAAAAACCTGAAGAAAGGAAGAGAGAAAGAAACAAGTTAACACTAAGATTCAGAGGCTTCAATACTCAACTTTAAAGAACAGATAGAACATTGAGGCAGAAGATCAACAACAAATAGAAGACGTGAATAGAAACCAAGCAGAACTAACTCACTAACCAACATAGCAGTGTGCACATCCTTCTAAAGTACACAGGAAACATTTTCCTAAATAAACCAATGTTAGGTCCAAAACAAACCTGGATAAATTTACAAGGTTAGATGTAAAACAAAGTATTCTCTGTTACCAATTGGAACAAAATTAGAAACCAATAATGTGAAGGAATTTGGGTAACTCACAATTATCTGAAAATAAACACATTCCTAAATAACTGTTATGCCAAAGAAAAAATTGTCAAAAGGAAGGCTATAAAATATTTTGAGGTGAAATAAAATAAAGGCACAAATACCAAAACAAAAGCAGCTAAGGCACCACTTAGAGGAAAACTTATACCTGTACATATTTGCATTAAAAAAGAAGTCTTCAATTCAAATCAACAACCCACCTTCCAATCCTGGAAAATGAAAAAGAAAACTAAAACTAACATTAAAACAAGCATAAGGAGAAAATAGTGAAATGGAGAATAAGAAAAACAACAGTAAAAACATATTAAAACCAAAATCTGATTCTTTGAAAAGACTAATAAAACTGACAAACCTGTCCTTAGATCAACATAGCAATATTATCTCAATAGATGCAGAAAGGGATCTGACAAAATCTGAGACCCTTTTATGATACAAGTACTCAATAAGACAGTAATAGAATGGAACTTCCTCAGTCCAGTAAAGAGCATCTACTAAAAACTAACAGCTGGCCAGGGACAGTGATTCATGCCTGTCATCCTAGCATTCTGGAAGACTAAACCGGGAAGACTGCTTGAGCTCAGTAAGTTGAGGCCAGCCCGAGGAAGAGTTAGACCCCACCTCTACTAAAAGTCGAAAACCTGGCTGGCATATGCCTGTACTCCTAGCAACTCAAGAATAAGACAATTCTATTCAATAATACTCTGGAGGTGCTAGCTGAGGCAATTTGGTAACAAAAACAAGGAAAAGGTATTGAGATTGTAAAAAAATAAAAGTATCTCTATTCACAAAAGGCACAATCCGATGTATGAAAATCTTATGAATTAACAAGAGAGGCATTAGGATTGATAACCAAGTTCAGCAAGAATGCAGGATATAGAATCTATACACACAAAAATCAACTATATTTCCATGTGCTAGCAAAGAAAAATCTGAACATGAAATTTAAAAAACAATTCCACGTAGAACAGCATCAAAAATAATAAAATAATAAGGAATAAACTTAACAAAATAAGTCTAAGACCAAACCTACAAAACATCTTTAAAAATTTTGAAGACCTAGTAAAGACATCCCATGTTCATGAATTAGAAGAATTAATATTGTTAAGATGGCAATTAACACAGTTAATCTACAGATTCAACATAGTCTATGAAAATCCAGAATTTTGGTACACTTTAAATGAATAAATTACATGTATGTAGATTGTATCTCAGTAAAGCCATTAAAAATATTTTTTAAACAAACAAATAAAGCTTCTTTCCTCTTCTTTTTCCACTTCCTTTCCTGAAAATTCATAAAGTTCCCAAGTAGTACTAGGCAAAGTAGGAGCCACACTAGGGGCAGAAGGAGAAGTTGCAGCAGCCAGAGGATGGCAGAGCCCTCAGCTGAGTGAGAGGTGTATCCATAAGGGGGGCAACATGGCGTCAAAGCCCAGAGAAAGGAGAAGTCTGTTCACCACCAAGCTCGCCAAGTATGGAAGCTGGAGCCTAAGCAGGGAAGGTGGAAATCTCTGCAAAGGGGAGAGAGCCCAAACAGAAGGTGTCACGCGGAAGAGACCCACAGCCTGGAGTGTCAGGAATGAGCAGGATGATGCAGACAATCACACCAGTGTGGGCCACAGGGGCAGAGAAAGGCAATTTCCTGGAGGATGTCTGAGCACCAGCAGGGCTGGAAGGCATCCCAAGAAGAGCTACACAGCTCTGTATGTCAGAATTCTAAGGACCTGATAAGGCACCCACCTGAAGGACAAGGAAGAAGGCTGCACCCTGACGTAAGGTTTATGAGTATGTGGAAGATAAGGAGGACGTCCACACACAAGGCTTCCCTGTGTAGGGGTAAAATCTTTATTTTTTTTTTAGGCAAGCATTTAATAGAGAACATATCATACATACTGTGAAACATAATACATTTATAAACAATTCATTTTAACATGTTTAATGGTAATTTTTTTATTCTTATTGTTGGGGATTCATTGAGGATACAAAGAACCAGGTTACAGATTGCATTTGTTAGGTAATATCCCTCTTTCCATGGGACTGAGAGTAAAG